TCAGTGTTTAACTGTATGCATTTTCAAATATTCCTGTCACACATGTTACCATCATACTCATTAGGTTAGAGTCACGGAGTCGAAGTGAAGCCATAATTATAATACATTAATTATAACACATTAGGTTTGAGCGCTTCTTATTTCTCTCAGATTTGATCCAGATTTTATTTGTAATGCCTCGGACAACTCTGGACGATACTCCTACCAAGCCCAGCCAGCTATCTGTAGGTGGAACCTCGGAAAGCTAGCAGAGGCTCTTGCTCCAGAGTTGCCACCAGACCGGGCTGAGGCTGTGCTGGAGGAGTACCTGGATCTTTATAACCGTTTCTACTTGGAGAACATGAGGAAGAAGCTGGGTTTGCTGAAGAAGGAGGACCCTGAGGACGAGATCCTGATCACCAAACTGCTTCAGACAATGCACAACACAGGTGGGACTATTTTGTGTACTGCTTAGAAAGAGAGTTTGATGTGACAAAACATTTAATCTAGTGACAGACTGAGAGTCTAAGGATGCGTGCATACGGCACTGCATATGAAACAGGAAAAATATTTAATGATGGATGTAACATTGTAATAACATTTTTCTGCCTCCCTTCTGCAGGTGCTGACTTCACCAACACCTTCCGTAGCTTGAGTCTGATTTCTTGTCCCACTGAGGAAAATAGCGAGGGAGAAGAGGACTCTGTCAAGAAAGCCACAGACCTCTTGATTGAGCAGTGCGCCTCCCTAGAGGAGCTCAAGGCTGCCAACAAGCCCACGATGGATCCACGGTGAGCTAGCTAATAGTTATACCGCTACACACACACAAGCCCAGCGTGTTACGCATCATGGCCAAATTCACTTATATTTTTACTTAAAACTATTAGAATAGAAATAATGACTGTGCCTGTGGTGATAATGTCAAATGTTTTGCTTTTTATTCAGTGTAGTTCATACTGCAGCCTCTGGGTGTCACTAGTGAGGCTTCATATACATCATGTCTTTTACAGGTTATCAGTCTGAGGTTTCTTAAAGCAGCATCTGTTGATATTTTTGGTGACTTGAAGGCAGCAGAAAATGATGCAAACATTGATATTATTGTTTCCATTTATTCACCCATCGGTCAATCCATTCATTCATTTTTTAAAATTGGTTATCCATTTAAGGGTCAAAGGAGTCTAGAACCTATGTAATATGACGAGAGGCAGCGTGCACCTGAGCAGGTTGGCAGTCTATCTCAGGGCTAACACAGAGTGACAGTCAACTATTTATCCTCGTATTCTTACGTACAGCCAGTTTGGAGTCACTAGTTCACCTAACTGCACCTCTTTGTACCGTGGAAGGAAGCCGGAGTAGCCGGTGTGCAGTCACAGAATCTTTTTCCTGTGAGGCGATAATACTAACCACTGAACATAAAGTAAAATTATCACTCATTTTAGGTCACATGCCTATCCATCCAGCATTTTTAACTCTAAAATCTGTCCAGTATCAAGAGGAAAGCAGTAAGAATCGCAGTACTAAATAAGCAGGCAGGGATACTGTAACACTTTAACATAGTTTTTGGAAGCACTTCAGACCTTGTTTTGGTTTGCACCCATTGGGACTGTTTTTTCTTTTCTTTTGTTTTTTTGTTTGGGATCTCGGGAACTGAGACTTTTGGAAATGATACCCATATTTGCTGTCTGTTGGATGTTATCAGAAACCATATGCCCTTCCCGGATCCTTTACACCCATATCACATGTCCATTTTCCTAAAAGTAGACAAATGCTTCAACAAATTCAACATGGACAATAAATTACTGCCATCACTGACCTTGTTTGCCTTTGTTAGCAGCTGTTGTGCCATAATTTTATTATCCTTCTACTGCCTACCCAGCATAGCTTTCAAGATGGTCCTAAATGCTTATTTGAAGTGTTGTTGTTGGGTTTTTTATTTGGTTTTTTTTTATGGGAACCTGTAATCTGATATTTTTCTGTTAAAATGGGATTTGAAAGTATTAAATTTGATTAAAATTTCTGAAACCCAATCCTTATCAAATTAATTTAGAAGGGTAAGGGTACCTGTGATGCATTTTCCCTGAATGGTAACGAGTGTCTGCAGACTGGAGAGAACATTCGATGGAAAGAATCTGGAGCTCAAATACAGACAGAAATAGCTGAGCTCATTATTTAGCAAGTGAAACAATTATAAATAAAAAATTTAATTCTGCGTTTTATGATGCCCCAAATTATGTGGAAGGTTGATCCCTGACTAATCTAGATATAAAGATGGACTTTGGAGTGAGTTTTGTGTAACCCAGTCTTTCTATGGATACAAACAGTCACTGGACTCTTTATCTCAGTACCTTACTTTCTCTCTAAACTCTTAGATTGCCTGCACTATGTCTGTGTTTTCTTTTCCAACGTATTTATTTATTGGCCTATAAGAATTATAACAGTGATGTTTTGTGTCCACAGTGAACTGGCAGTGCTGCTTTCTATGGCTCAGAGCAACCCAACACTGTTCCAGATGATCTCAGACAGAGCAACAATCGCGAGGCAGTTAGAGCGACTCAGCAAACTAAAGGATCTGATGGAGACCACCCAGGAGGAGCTGAAAACCAAACAGGCAGAGGATTGGACATCCTGGATCACTCAGTATAGGTGAGACGGGGGCAAAAAAAATGAGTGAGTAAGTTTTATTAGCAAGGGACGAGAAAGAAAAGCATGGAAAATGAGAGCAGAGGAGGAACTGCATAGACCGGATTAGCTTTTGGGTTTTTTTTTTCTTTTTAAATGTGCAAACAGACAGAAAAAAGAGGAAATGTGTGTCGAGGTGATTATTGTTCCTTTGCTGCACTTCTCTGAGGGAATGTTTTGTGTTATCACTGCCACAGGAAACGTCTGGCTCGTGAGCTGGAAGGCCAGAGTGATGTGCAGGCTGTGCAGGAGGAGAGAGTGAGGGTGATGGACAGCACCAACCCTCGTGTGATACTCAGAAACTACATTGCCCAGAATGCCATAGAGGCTGCTGAGAATGGGGACTTCTCTGAGGTCAGGTTCTAGTCGATTCTAATTTTTACTAGATAGAAACATAACTACCTTTGTCTGCTGTAGATTTTGGTAGAGAAATACGGACAACTTCCCCAGAAGCATTCACTGGAAATCAGACTGTGCTTCATTTACCCTTAATTCCCTTTTAAGTTTTTCATTTTCAGTGTGGTGACCCAGTCTCACTTCTGCTCTTTGCTGCAGGTCCAGCGTGTCCTCAAGGTTCTGGAGAAGCCTTTCTCTTCACAGCCAGGTCTGGAGCTCCCTGCGTGGGTTGGTGGAGGTGGGACCAGTGCAGAAGGAGAAAGGGATGAAGGAGAGGAGCAACAGCAAGAAGCAGCTACCTCTATGCCCAGAAATCCTGTGCCTTATGACAGCAAGCCCCCAGCTTGGGCCAATGAAATCTGTGTCACATGATCTTCGTAGTAACTTCCTTGACCGTGATCTCTCCTGCCTAAAATAACAAGAGCGTTTCAAAGTGTTTAAAGATAATTTTTTTCACATTTTTATAACTCTTCAGCTGCTGGACAACTTTGTTATTTTAGCAGGCAGTTTCAGGAAGGTCGGCATGAGGCACAGCACCTCACAGGCAAGCTGGATGGCACAAAACAGACAGCGTGTTGAGTTTGTTTCCACAAAAAATACAAATTCTATATAAAATTTAAAAAGATATACGTTTTAAAGCTGTAATATCATTTTTTTGTATCCTTGTTTAACATTTGAGTCATCCTTAAATAAGTGGATGAGATTTTATATAAAATTTATATATGATATTGTGCAGTTTAAGCAGTATATTTACAGAAACTCGGGTCAAAATTTTTTTCCTGTCTGTTTTGTGTTTAATAAGCTATTAATGATGAGTCAGGCAACAAGTCTCACAGTGGCCTGTCTGGCTCTGACAAACTGTGAGGTGACACCTCGACATATACCAAAAATATGTGTGTGAGAGAGTAAATGTGTTATGATGATGATTTTATATCTGTGGCTAAAACTGTGTTACTATACATGATTAGGATGCCGCAGCCAACAAACACGCACAATACAAAGCAGATAAGCACGCACAGTATGTTTTCCTATATTAGAAAGCATTTTCTTTTGCAGCTGTCAAGACATTCATAGAGCCACGGATGTAATTTACTTTTTTTTTTTGTCTAGTAACCAAGTTTAGTGAAGGACAAACGAGAACAGGATGTTGCGATTTACTTTCTTCAGGTTGTGGCTTCACAGAAAGAGGAAGTTATTTGTAGAATGTGCCACAAAAAGACTTTTTTTGTGCAAAGAGTAGAAGACAGCCACAGCCATTCATAGATTTGTATTAACTGTACTACATATGCAACAGCACTACTCATCACATGTTGCGCCTTTTTGGTGAATATGCATTATGTGAAATGTCCGTTTGAGCTCTTCTAACAGAATCAATAAACTGAGTGATCAAGAGTCATTGTGTCTTTGTTTTTTTATTTTACTTCGTGGCATACCTGCAGTTCAGTTACAGAAGGAATCTCCACGTCCATGCCATTTTAATGTTGTCACTGTTTCTTAATCTCTCAAATAATAAATTTCCTCCTGTGTAAATGTCACACAGAACACGTGACCATGTAACATTTCCAGTTTGGTTGTGTGATAGGCTTGTTTCCTTGTTCTGTTACCTGGGTGACACATTCAAGGATTTCTAAAAGCACAGCTGGTGCCTCCTGGCTTGAGTAACGTTCCTGTTCCAACACGCCTGAAACATTTGCTCTTTGTAGGCTCCTCCTAAATAGCACAATTTAATGTAGACTACGGTGTCGCAAACACGCAAGTTACAAAGACAACCGGATTGCGAAAGCCAAGGCACGTTTCACGCCAATTTCTTACTCGTTAAACCAACGAGTGACTCCATCTGTCCTATCAGTTAAAGCATTGTCTACCCCTATTTGAACAGAAATACCTCATCATGAAGATGTTTACTCTGAACAATTTTTATTTAGTTTTCAGTCAAGGTTGTAGTTTCTTCTTTCATTTGTCACTCGTTTGTGTATTTATAAAATGAAATCATATCCTTAGGTTGCTAAACAGGTTTTACGCACTTAAAGCGCTATGTGCTCGTTTCTCTCACGTTGCCTTCTCTTCTTCACCTTTAATTGTAGGCCTACTACAGCAGGACTCGGGAGTGGCTTTTAGCGACCTCAGGGTGCGCCCTGAGTACAGCTGCGCAATGATCGCGGGTGAGCGCATAGGTGGGATCTGGGACAATGAGATCGTAACGCCGGAAGAGCCTAAACAAGTTTAAAAAGGGGCTTGTGCTGTACTGCCTATCGAGTTTATAATAGATAAGATGAATACGCGAATCAGACCGGGCTACCACCGCCTGGAAATTAACAAAACATCATGGGAAGTACCGGAGCGGTACCGGGATCTGAAGCAGGTGGGGACCGGAGCGTACGGGACGGTATGGTAAGTGAAACCTTAAGAAATTGGAAGAAACTATTAGCCGACAGCACTACTGCTTGATGTGGAACGGTGAAACAAAGAGAGCGACGGAACAGATGGTGCCCAACAGACGGCTGCACTGTGCCACAGTCAAACAAAAGAAAAAGTATCTACGGTCCGCTGAACACATGCTGCTTCACTTCCTGATATGATGGAGACACTTGCAGCAACACTACTTGCGTTCTACACAATCACCCTGACAGCAACAGAGCTTAATTATGAGCAGCACATTTGCGTGTGAAATGGCAAAGCTGAGCCAAGTTTAATAAAAGCACGATAGTAAAAAGCGGCTTTTCAGGCACCTTTGTGCGTCTCGCAGCATGCGGACCCTTTGTTATCAATGATTAACGTCTTGGGCGGACACTGACCGACTGAATACAACTTAATAACACATGAACAGCTCCGTTCCAGCCAGAGATCACTGCCGAGCCACGTCAGAGCAAGTAGGTGTTTGCCTGTAAACACAGATTTGGACTAAAAAACACAATTCCTCAACCGAAGATAAGGAAACAACTTTTCAGTTACACAGCCTAATCAGGAATGTTCCTTGCCTAGATTTCCTCATACAGGAAATAATAAAGGGCTATTTTTAAAATTTGTCTCACGCCATCGCATATGTATAGTGCTGTGCAGATATCTTGATATCTTTGCTTCCAAGAAACCAGACTTTCTTTAATATTTTTAAATGCTCTCTGGCATCAGTTATCCAGTCTTTCCGAAAGTCTTTCAAAATTAATTGGCTTCTTTTTCACTAATTGTAAGTCTATTCCTTGAATCTGACCATTTTCAGAGAAATGTTGACCTATGAATCATTCAAGCATAAAAGGAGGCACCAATGTTGAGTGATTAACCACTGTTGTGTAACAAACAACTTAACAAAGAACTGGTTTTAGACACTATCTTTAGGTGCTTCGATACTAGTGGCCCATCAAAAAAAAACCCAAATAATTTGTTTCTATTTCTGTTTCTATTTAGCTGAATCTAAATAAAATCCCAAATATAACAAGAATGAAATAATATTTTTGCACCAACAAGGGAATTGCCAAAAAGCTATTAGGTAGAAACTTGGCCCATGTTGGTTTGGTGAACAGTGTGTGCTTTAATTGGAAAAGAATAAGTGGCCAGCTTAAAAAAACTGTCTATAACACATGAGCAGTATCTGAAAGTCATGCCCTTAAGAAACTTGAAAAAATCCAGCAAGACTCGAGAGATGCATCTGGCACTTCAGTTAGTCCATTTACTTCTTGCTGAAGCCTCATCAGAAATGGTCTCAGAGAAAGGATGGCTGTCAGGAAGTCATAAGGAATGAAAACAGGGAGAAAGGCCAAGGTATGTCAAACTACACTGAAAATCAGTGGTAACAGGTCCTGCGGAGCGATGAATAAGAATGTTTAAAGTTTTGGTTTAAATCCTCGATATATAAGAAGGAGGTTAAAAGACAAATACAACAGTGAGTGTCTACAGCCAACTGTAAAACACAGTGGATACTAGGTCATGGTTTGAGGTTCTATTCATGTCAAAACTGATGGAATTATGAATGCAAAAATGATTTTGATCTACCATGGAAAAGCACCTGGAAAGCATCGGATTGCCAGTGGTTTCATTTTTCAGCATGTCAGTGATTCCAAAAACACTGCTAACGTAGTAAAAGTATACCCAACAAAGAAGAGCTTTGAATGTCCTTGAAGAAGCAGAACTATTCCCGAAGCTTAAAGAAATGAAAAGAAAGCTTGCCTAAGAAACTTTAGGCTGTGTTGAAGAATAAAAGCTGTCATACAAAATATTGACTTTTATGTTTGTTAGAAGTTCACAAATTCACATATTTTCATTTATGTTTGTACATTTCAATAAATCATCTGTTTCTAATTTTCCTAGCAAAATATTTAAAAAATGCGAGTTGTCTCGAAACGTTTGCACAATATTGTGTTCATATCTCCTTCAGCTCTGCAGTAGACTCAAGAACAGGAGCAAAGGTGGCGATCAAGAAGCTCTACAGACCGTTCCAGTCTGACATCTTTGCAAAACGGGCCTACAGGGAGCTGAGGCTCCTCAAACACATGAAACATGAAAATGTGAGCATAAAAAAGTCCAAACTTGTTAAAATGAGCAAACTAATGTCTTTATAGACACATGCCTCATATGAAACGTTGATTTGATGTCATTTCCTCCTGATGCAGGTGATTGGCCTGTTAGATGTGTTTACAGCTGACCTCTCTCTGGACAGATTTCGTGATTTGTAAGTACCTTTTCTGCCACTCTGACAGAAGCATGGAGATATTAAAACTGTGTTCTCTGCAAATCCTCAAGGACATTTGTAAAGTTTTAAATATGATTTTTTGTTATTTTCCAAGTTATCTGGTGATGCCCTTCATGGGGACAGATCTGGGGAAGCTGATGAAGATGCAGAAGCTCTCAGAAGAAAAAATTCAATATTTGGTTTACCAGATGCTTAAAGGGCTCAAGGTAAGGAGCTCTGCTTTGATCAGCTGCCAATCCATTATTACTATGTTAAAATATTCAGCTCGCTGCATTCCTTTATTACAGTATATCCATTCTGCTGGTATCATTCACAGGGTAGGCTCTCTTTAATATGTATTTTTCACCAAACATATATGTGAAATATGTGAAAAGTATTAAGATAAATGGTTGTTGGTGTTTCTCTTCCTACTATGGTGCGGCGTTGCTTGTCTTTTCATGTCAACATTTGCAGGACCTCAAACCAGGAAATCTCGCTATCAACCAAGACTGCGAGCTCAAGGTACACACGAACACACCCTGATAAAAAACAATCATGTCTCAGTTTTTGTTTTATTTGCGTGCACTGTCAAAACGCAGTTCTGTAATAACACTGATAACTGCACGAGGCAGAATTTCATTGACGTTTGTATGTTTTTATATTAAGTCCCTGCTAAGACTTTAATTTTACTTTAATGTTTGTTGCAGATCTTGGACTTTGGCTTAGCCAGGCAGGCAGACAGTGAGATGACGGGGTACGTAGTAACTCGCTGGTACAGAGCCCCAGAGGTGATCCTGAACTGGATGCACTACACTCAGACGGGTAATGTAGAGCTCATTCAGGGGTGAAAAAAAAAGCACTCTTACTGTGATCTTTCTATCTGTGTGTCAAGTTCAGCGCTCCCCATTAGCACCAAATCATTAACAGCACAAAGTGGTTGTTCTACTCACTGTGTGCTTAACTCCATTTCCTAGATGTTCCTTTGAACAGTGCCCGATGCTTGTAGGTGGAGAATATTAGCTTTAGGGAAAACATGGCAAAGAGTTTGTCTAGCTTTAATTTTAAATTAACCTTAAAGTGTGGGATTTTTGCTGCTGGGTCATTCCATTAAAAATCAATGAATCCCCTCTTTTCAGAGTACGTGGGGTGTGTTGAAATGTGGGGCTTTTTATGTTCTCTTATTTTTCCAGTACTTTTTGAGCTCTTTTAACTCCCTGACAGAAGATAGTCCCATTAAATGTTCAAAGGAAAAAGTGCAACAATTCAATTGGCAGGACATAGAGAACACCGAGTCTTTGTATCCTAAATGTTTGATCTGTTTTCTGCTAATTCGTTAGATGAAACTTCACAAAGCCAATTTTGGGTAATTTTCAGGGACCAAATGGGATAGGAGGGTGGTCAAATCAAGTTAAGGTCTCCTTTATGCCTCCATTCTGATGCCAGGCTCATCTTCTGTCTCAAAATATTTTTTTAATGTAATCTTTTTTTCATACTTACCAATTTTTTATTTTATATACTTTTTAGGGAAATTAAACTGACCAAACAAGGACTATTCATGTATGCAATATTCTAAAATGTGTGTTTTGCAACTGTGCAACTATCTGCGTTTGGTCATAAGCAACATGCCCAGTGTCCATACATCACAATCTTGTGAAAAAAGGACTTTTCTGTCTGATCATCATGAGAGTGTAAAGCTTAGTCCAGATGGGGATATAATATAAAGAGTCAACATCTCAGCAAGCTTTGTGATCTGTTACTTTCACAAATGACACGTGTCACAAGACCTGCTGTCGAAAAGGTTTATGTGACAGACTTGGAGCAATGATTAAAAACTTGCAGCCAGACCTGGTTTATAACTAACGTTTACAACAGCAATCACATCCTGACCCTACGGCAACGCTTTGAGCACAGCACACCTCCTCTCAGTTCAGTGTTTGACCCAATGATGTTCATAGCAAAAAAGAAAAGGGCAAGTTTTAGGATCCAGTAAGACAGTCCTGCAGAAATGAGAGCTAATCTCCAGTTCATGAGGCCCAGCTGAAAATGTTCAAGTTGTCGAGACAGTCGTCAAGAATGGCAATATAACTGTAACAACATGAGCAGTATTAGCAGTTAACACTGGTCCCTTTGTGACTGCTGTCTATGACAGCAGGTGGATATAGTGATATATTTGAGAAATAGATGTTGGGGTTCTCAAACAAACACAGAAGGATCCAAAAAGAGTACAAGTACTTTCATATTACGACATAAGCCATGAATGTTTACAGAAAGTAGACCTATTTAAGTTTTCTGTGGTTAATTATCAGAAAATAGACTAAACATCCAAGTTAGCATTACAATTTGCAAAAATGTGATATATCCTGTGATAATTGATTCTCAGCTGGTTATAGAATAAATCTTAGTGAACAAAAGAAAGATTTAATTTGTAGTCTTTTTTTAGTTTGGAATGTTTTTGCTGTTTTGTCACAGAGTTTAAATGTGTCCAGTCCTGAAGAATTTATTTTTATTTACTACTTAAGTTATTAGGGAATAAAAATGCTGGAAAATAAGGCACTTAAGCAGTGTCTGATATTAATCTATGTCTTTGAGGGGCCTGCAACTTGGACGATTTCCCCCTCATCCTAAATGCCACAGCAGATGTCTGTCCCACTGTTGCTAAGTGCTATCTCTCAGGGGATCGTCTGATTGTGGTGGTTTTCCCTCTAATGTTGTAGCATCTTTATCTTAAAATTTGAAATGTCTTGAGGTGACCGTTGTTGTGAATTCACACAATAAATAAAATTAAATTAAATTGAGAAGAATGAATTAAAATATGCGAAAGTTATTGTACAAAAAGAAGATGTCAGTACTGTTAAGCCCGGTGTTGTCTTAGTTATTATCCACTAGGTGGGGCTGTTGTAACACTTTGTTTTAGAATGGATTACTAAATGTTTGGTGTTTTATCAACTCTGCTCTTTATTTCTTCTTTCTCAGTGGACATTTGGTCAGTGGGCTGCATCATGGCAGAGATGCTGCAAGGAAAACCTCTTTTTAAGGGCAGTGACCGTATCCTTTCACCTTGTTGACCCACAAGTTATAAAACAAACATGTTGCTTTTGTCTAACCTAATATCTTTTTTATTGTACCTTTTTATTCTTATTTGAGCCTTAACACCTCTTCTTCAGACCTAGATCAGCTGATTGAGATCATGAAGCTCATAGGAACACCATCACAGGAATTTATATCAAAACTAGACTCTGAGGATGTGAGTTCCAAAAATGTGTAACTTTGTGGTCCTAAAGATTGTTGTGGTGGTTAGTTGTGCTTGAAACAATGACATTTTAGGAACTGGAGGCAGATTTGAGTGCTTTGTTGGACTTTATTGGTACAGTATTAAGTTAATAAACACATACCTAATATGGAATTATCATATTTTATGCCTATTCGTTGTCCTCTCTGTCTCTTCTTAGGCAAAATCCTACCTCAAAAGCCTTGGAAAAGTGGAAAAGAAAGACTTTCAGAAGGTGTTTTCCACAAGTAATCCACAAGGTATTACATACTCAGGCCTTTAATTCGATGTGTTTTCATTTTGGTAAACAAACTCCAAATGGATTTTCTGTTGTCATCATTCTCACTCAGCCGTGTCAGTGCTGGAGCGAATGTTATTGCTAGATCCAGAAAAACGGGTAACTGCTGCAGAAGCTCTCACGCTGCCTTACTTCACTGAGTTTAGAGACCCAGACGAGGAGACGGAAGCACAGCCATATGATCACTCACTAGACAATGCAGAGCTGACTTTGGACCAGTGGAAACGTAAGAATGAAGGGGCGTATTGAGGTTGCAATTTCAGATGGACAGAGGCAAAAGGAGGTGGAAAGTGTGAGCTACGTGCTTTTGTTTAATATCCTGCTGTGCTGCTTTCTTTAGGTCACACCTTCACAGAGATCTTGTCTTTCAAGCCTGTTGTGCTGGAAGCCAAGGACCCCTCCAAGGAAACCTCACTGTAACATGCACAGAGCTGACACTGCAACCTGGAACCAGAACAAACAAACACGTTTTTTTTAATGACAATCTCAACTATGAAAACGCAACTTAATGAATGTAAACTGGCCCTGTTCTCATAAGTGCAAGCTGCTGTGGGATTTTTCACGACAGTTAGGTAGACACTTTATTTGTTCTAAAATAATAAGTGTTTCATTAAAATACAAAGTCTCAGCTGCAAATCAAGTGGCTTTATAGTAACACGTTAAAGGACTGTGTGAGTACATATTACCCAAAGTTTATAGGTTCAGAATTCTTTGGACAGATCTGCATGAATATTAAACATCTGTGGAGAAGTTAATGAAGCCATTAACCTATAAACATCAGTCGACACTTGTGTCATCCCCGGTGGTGCTCTCCTCGGCTACAGCCCTGCCCTATAAGCTGTTAATTGTCATGGGTCCTCCTGCCTTTAGTCTAATATTCAGTAAGAGGAATAGAGCTCAGCTGGATTATCAAATCAAGGACAGCTTAGAGAAAAACTTTGAACACTGACAAGGAAACATGTCCACATGCTTCCTTGAGAGTATTGCCATGAAGTGGAGCTTTGAAGTGCAAATGATTTTCCTGTCATCTCAAAGATTTATTCACCTGTGATTCACCTTTGACTTTGGCAAATCAACCACCTTTAGTATCTCTTTTGTCATTTTATTCCTTGTACTGACAGAAAACTTTACCTTAATCTAAAAGGTCACATGTGACCATTTGCTTGTCCATCTATTTTGTGTGTCTCTCCAACCAGAGCTTTGGCTGTGGAAGGATTCACGTCTATCTCCCAAAAATCACGTTCACTACTGATGCAAAGCCATTCACAAACTCATCGTGGCTTAAAGCAGATACTTGGCATTTTAATGTTGCATTTGTTCATTTATTTTTGATTTGTGCTTGAATCACAGAACCTGAAGGAAAACAGTAAAAACAACACACAACTGTTCCAGTTTCAGTTTCAGGGGTACAGATATTTTTTTCTAATAGTTCTACTGAGTCCATGACTATCTATCACCTGGTACAATTTAAGTATTCCCACCTTTAATGAAGAAGTTTAGTATTTTAGAAATAGAAATACTGAAATTCAATAAGAAGCTTTGAAAAAAAACCCCATTGTTAATAGGATGCTGTTGAGTTAATTGTATTGTATTTAAAAGTACGATTATTAACAAACACTTGTAATTTATGTTAATATGCTATTTTGCAACTTTCGCATTATATGCAACTTGTCTTGAAGTGTGTGCGTGTGGGTGTGTATGTGCACTGTGGTTCATGTGAAATCTCTCAGCAGGGTATGCACAAACATTCACGTTTTAATTTCAAAACCAAAGGTTTCTGATTGTTTAGACTTTGTAAAGGTTGCAAAACACACCTTTATGTTTCCAGCGACACTTGTGCAGTTTTTATATTAAAGGTTCTCTTTGAAAATGTCTTTTTTTGCGGTGGTTTTCCGAGCAGATGTTCTGTTTAAACGGTTCATCATAAACAGAACCTTAAGTTACGTTTAACCTTAGTATCTTCACTTTTAGGCCAAACAATGAAAACAACTTATAATGAACAAAATGGAAGAAATAATCAATATAAGGCTGGACTCCACTTCTGTTGTTACGAGTTCGGTATATACTTGTAAAAGCAACATTTCCATGTCCTTAACAAACATACAATTTAACACTAGGGGGCAGCATGTAAACAAGCAACAACATGGCTGTGCTAAAAACTGTGACGTGGGTTGACCCACCGTGTAGGTCTAGACTGAAATAGCTTTACAAAAGAGTAAGTTCTTTTCTTTTTTTCCCATTAGCTCTACCAACAGGTCAAACCTTTGATTTTTGGACAAATACTTGAAAACTGTTGGCATTTCCATCAGCCTACATACACCATGTTTAATGGCAATAAGTAAATGTTATTATGCTCAACACTGATAAACGAAATAGTCCATCTGGCAAACATCAGCATGTTAACATCGTCACAGTGAGCATGAGAGCAAACTGTTTTTAGCCTTTTGTTCTCGGAGGACAGACTTGTTATTTTATTTTTAATGATCAAACCGGTCAAAGATAAGTTGTCATGGTAGTATTACAGTGATTTATTGTACTTTAGTTAACACTAACAACTTTGTACTGAATATGATTGATGAGCTCAAGAAACAAATGTTTTAACATTCTTGCAGATTTCATCTTTGCCTTTAGATTCTGCTCATTCCTCAACCTTCTGCTGGATAGTGTTGAATTTAACAGGCTAGTGAACTCCAGATCCTTGACTCCAAAGGGTGACTCTCCAGAGGACAAGCTTCCTTCCTGGGCCTGAGCTTCTCCAAACCAAACCCTGGATGTTGTGTTCTCACACATGAGGTTGGGGTGATGCTGAATAGTTCACAGGAAAGTCACAGAGTTCTGTTCCCGCTGCAGACAGGAAAGCAGAGGGGAGAGTATTCTCCAACACAGCAGCACATGCATAGATTACCTCTCTTGTTTGTTAATCCTGTAGCTTATTTTCAGCGTGCTGAATTCCAGCACCATATTTCCAAAGACGCATGTGTATAGAGTTCATACGTGTACACCAGTACAGATGGATACAACTGGCATGCACAGTTGGATGCACATCTCACACACTCATTCGCATCAGAGTGCCAGTGACTCAAGAGGGAGCACGTGTGGAATGACAGCAATGCCCAAACACTGATCTGACCCAGGTCACTCTCCTTTCTTGAAGGGGAATGTCATAAATTATAACTCTGTTTACTTCATGCGTCTGGGGGAGGTACATCACCATGAATCTCAGCATGGTGAGAGGATTAACATTGTCTTTGCTGGGGTGCTTTGTAGTTCATGCATCCCTAGAGTTCATTTTAGTTTGTCTGCATGAAAAATTTTCCTTTGAGCGTAGGAATTCTACAGTTTGCATCATTTGTCTCGGAGCAGAAACTCAGACAGCTAAAGATTTAATAAATAAGAGCCAGTGCTGTCACCACGAGAATGAAATCAGTTCTTTATAGCCATCCAAGTTCATCAGGTTTTATTGAAATGAACCACAGTGACAGAATACCATCAGTGACAGTGTTTATTCTCCAGATAATCTGAGTTGTCATGTCCTTGCTGGAGATAAAATAAACAGATTCAAGGGCTCAGCAGCGATAAATTGATTGGCGTTTTACCAGGAGCTGAAGTGAAAGTCTGCCAGCTTGCTGAATGTCCTTGTCATTGTGTGTTTGAGAGCACTGAAATTTTATTTTTAAATAGCAGGGTATTTGTGTACATGATGTTCGCCATGCAGCTATTTTCTTGGTTCCATGTGTCATTTTGGATCTGTGTGGCTGTGGTTATTCACTGGCATAAAGAGAGAAGCAATAAAACATTTTCTTATGCATGTATTTTCTTATAAATGGCTGAGCGCATCAAGAACAATGTGAAAATTCAAATATTCTGTATGACAGTATGAATATATTTAGTGCATATCCCTGCAACCACTGGCAAGAAACAGGTGGATTTTTTTTAGTAAGCTTGCTCATATTGAAGTGGATGCAATAATTTTTTCCCAACTTGAAAGGGAGAGGAAATTATCTGTAATCATTTCCGAAACTTTGCAAGTTAATATGTTTTCTGTTTGTTTGCTTTAGCAAATGAATACTCGTGTTTAGAACTTTCTAGTTTCAGTGTTATTTCGTTTGTGTTTATATCCCAGTGTTTCTGTGTGTGTCCACATCCCAGTGTGTATGAGTGGAGGTCAAGCTCACTGAACCCTGATAATGGTGAGCCCCACAATTGGCCGACATGAGAGTTTTTTTTGTCTAACTATGTCACCCACATCCTCTCAGACCTTCTCCAGTCTTTCTCTTTTCATTAATGTTGCCCCGATCATTGTAAGATGTATACAGAAGCAAACAAGTCCATGGGATCCTTCAGGAGGAGAGCAGGACCTGCTGCACACAGTATAAAGGAAATTCCAGAGGCTCACATGGAACCACTGTTAATACTTTGGGGAGATACTCCAACTCAAAGAACCCACCAGGATGTGGGTGGGTTGAAAAAGGACATAGGGAAGAGGAAAGGATTAGAACAAAGGGAAGAGTAAAGAGATGTGAAATTAGAAATGAAAGATAGGCCACTCTGGATGAAAGTCAAGGAAGAGGAGATGAAGAAAAAGACTGCAAGAGATACAGAGGGCCTGAGGGAAAGGGCACTTTAGTTTACATTAGCTCATTCATTAGCCATCCACAGCTTGTTTGAAGACTTCTGTGGAATATACACAATGTTAAGAGCGTCTGCAACAGATTGCATTCTCTCTCCGAGGATAACTCAGTTTCCATATGTGATGTGTTGACGTATGGGCTGTGGTGTGTCACGTTTAAGACTGATGGGAGTCAGCCACTGAGTAGGAGGAATCATTGTAGTTTTAAATAGAGGACAATGTGTTGACCACAGCTTGCTTTTGAGACTTGCAATATGTGTAACAAGTAAACATATCTCTATCTTATTGACAAGAGTTGTGATTTTATGTAATTAAAGGTACAAGTGTTTCTGCAGTGGGTGATGTTAGGAAGCTTTTGCTTGTCTCCTGGATTCGATTTTCTATCAACAAGCTCTTTGTGAACACTGTCTATGCACTTAACTAAGCTGCCTCACTTTAACAACTCTCTCAATTATATACAATAAATAATATGATAGTTTCTAAAAGGTGAAAGTCAGGCACTGAAACAAACAGCTGTAAAAAATACAGGAAATGGAATGTAAATTGTAACTACTGTTCTTTGTGAATACAGTTAAATGATGTAAATGCAGGTGTTCAAATTAACAGAGGTAGCACAGCAGTAGTACAAGGATAGTACAATGATTTACTTTAGCAAGTGTAAAGACTGTAAAGGGGAATGTCGATGTTGAAAGTAAAATCATTCACTTAGAAGTGCCATAATTCAGTTATTTCTTCTTTAGACTTTGATTGTTGTGGATGTGTAATGTGGTTCCCAGTTTGCGTATAAGCCTTAGCTGCTGCTCTTAAGATTCCCATATTCATTATGTCTGTAAACATTAAAATTCTAAAAATAACAGCATTCCTGTACCTGTGTGTGCACAGGAATTGTGACAAAGCTGTACAGCTGAGGACATGTGCTACACTTTACAGTAATCACAGCAACACAACAGCTGACAGTATTATGTTGTAATCATATTGTGAAAATAAAGTTATATTCAAAACTTTTTCTTATCTTCTACATTGTTTCATTTAGTGCTTGTCATTCACTTTCGTGCGATATGTTTCACTTTTATTAGAAATAACAGACTGAGTTTAAGCAAGCCTCTAAAATCCACTGTTCTTTTCACTATCAAACTCTTGCCATCCCCCCTGCAGGCTTGAAAGGCAGTTGTTAAAAGTTTGTAGTTTCCTCGCAGCAGCTTGAAGTCATTCTGTTCAAATGGATTCCTATGGTGACAAGTTTTCACGGTGGGAAAAAAAAGGAATCAAAAGGCCCACAGGAATTCCCAGAACGTGTGCCACTCTTTTGTCGATCCATATGCTCAGTTTGTGGAATCAATAAAGTTTATCATATCCTTAGGAAAACCAGAATCCTTGTTCACGTTTGTATGTGTGTGTATTATTTATATGCTTATGATGCCCTGAAGGTGAGGATGCTACAAGATTCAAAATAAGGGCTACATCTATGTAAATTTAACAGAAGTCAACTTTGGATAGTAAAACCAGATAGATTTTATGGCCAAGTGTGCACGAGGAGTCAGAAGTGACCTTAACAATCACTTCTTTAGGGGTCAAGACAACAATTTGGATAAAAGCTCAGATGTGAGAGGTCACAGTATATCACATGACCTGTGATTTTAAGGGAGCTGCTTCTGTGACAGGGTGAGTGTTTGATGGAACGTGAAATATCCAGAGGCAGAAAATAAAAACAGTCAGAGTTGGCTGCTTTAAAGTTCTTACTTCTTAAGCTTATATAAGTGGGTTTCATAATATAAAACCCAGTATCACGGCATATTGTAAGTACTTGTTTTAATGCCAGATGGCTTCTATACTGTGTTTCCTCTGATATAAAAAAAAAGGCAAATTGTTTGTCTCTCGTATGAATGTGAAGGTTGAAAAATAAACGGGTGTTATTGACAGTAGTGGATAAAAATGTAACCACAGAAGTCAAATCCCTTAAACTTTGTTATATTAACCATCAAAATCTTCTCAATCTGCCCAGCTTGATGCGCTTAGAGCTGATGATTGCTTTCAGTTGTACGTCCTTACTGGAAGAGCTAAAACTTCACATTTTTTCCTTACTAAAACCCGTCCATGCTGGATAAAGGAAACTCTCTCCAAAACACATGCACCGGTGGTATGGCAGAGAACAAAACAACCCTCCTTTTTTCCAAATGGGGGACTGATGGTAGTGGTGAGGAATGTCAGCATCTGTGTTGAGGATATTTTCTGTTTTATGGCTGT